CCCGATTGGAATTGGAATGATAATAAGAATGCTTAAACACGATTAATAATAATAAACGCAATAATACCACACCTTCGAATAATTATGAAACTAAAAACAAGGATGGGAACAAGAATAACGAGAATGATGATCATAATGGCCAGAATAAGATTAAACGCAATTATAGACTACGAATAAGAATAGGAAACATGATCATAATAATAATTAAGACACCACGATGCCACCCCCGTTGAAAAATTGTTACCCCCGGCCGTCGCGCGGGGCGGCTCGCCCGAAGACGTCGCCCCCGCTTAGCGCCGCGCCCGCGCGTGAACATTGCCGCAGCTTGTCCAAAAATATAGGACGCACAATGGGGCGAAGAAGAAGGATCAGAAAACAAGTGAGAATAAGACGGATAGCACTACTAAGACTACAACTAAGAATAATGATAAGAAGACTCTAAATCAGAAAACAGACGATCCCCCTGCTCCATTTCCCCCCCATCCTTTTTTCTTCATTGTCTTCATCATCCTTGTCCTATGCGATTCACATTGCCACCCTTATTGCCCTCCGGCCGTCGCGCGGGGCAGCGCGCGCGGGGGCGCCGCCCCCGCCGCGCGCGGCGCGTTATCTCAGCGCCCGCGCCGCCAAAATCATTCGCCCCCCATCGCGGGCGCGGGCGGCGCCCCCCCCCACGGCTGGGCTACCCCCTGCTGGGGCGCCCGCCCTCGGAAGGCCGAGCGCCGGGAAGACGCGCGGCCGCCCCGGCCCTCGCCCAGACCGACGGCCACCCGACGCAGACCCGTCTGCGCCCAGAGCAGTTTCTGAGAATGTCTCAGGGGAGCCGCTCGTTTCAAAACCACAAAGAGATCGCACCGCGAGAATGTCTCAAGCGGTTCGCTTGTTTCGGCGAGCAGGCTCGTCTGCATTCGCACGAAGGTGCGAGGTGCCAGGACAGCGCTTCCGCGGCGCCGGGCGCGCTGCGCTTTCTTCTGAGATGGGGGGGGCCTTAATCGAAGACGCCCGCGGCGAATTGCCGCCGCCCCCTGCCTTTGCGGAAGCGCCCGCGTTGCCGAACGTCGAGGCCAGACATGCCCAGCTATCGGACCACGCGTTCCCCGAATCGGCCTGGAAAGCATTCGAGGAACGCGTGGACATCTTGAAGGTCACCACGGCCGTCTGGAGGCCATTTGGACTAGTCGCTTGCCGCTCGCGTGCCAGACCCTTCTTCGCTCGCCCTTTCGGCCCGAGGGGCGGCCGAAGAAACTGGCGCTGGAAGCTGCGAATCTGGCGACGTCGCGCCAGGGCACGCGTCGCGGCTGACGGCCTCCGCCCGGTGAAAGTTGCCGCTGGGAAGCGGGGGCAGGAGCGCGAGGCCGCTTGGCCTTCTGCGCGTGGGCGACGAGCTCGGGCCGCTTCTGGGCCTTGCCGCCGCTCCGCTGCTCTATAGCCCCTGCCGCAAAATCTGTGCATCCTCAATTGAACTCGCCAGACTCGTTATACCGCTCGACTCCCGCCGTTTTCCCAACTGGTGCTTCGTCGGTAGCCCGTCTGGGTTGGTCCGGGGGGCGCGCGTTCGCCCTTCGCATTGCTGCCCTTCGAATTCTGGGAAGCTGGCTTCTGATGCCCGCGAAGAGCGGTTAAACGCCCCCCCCCCCCGCCCCCCGACGGCGGGGGGCTGCGCAATTTTGCGCCAGCGATCCTCTCATTGACGGACTGGGGGCCCCGACCAACGGACGGGAACAAATTCTGTCACCCCGCGCCGCCGCCGACGATTGACGCCGACGGACGGACGAAGAGGAGGGAAGCGGAGAGTGGCGGGGGGCACGAGGGGGGGGGGGAGGAGGATGAGGAGGAGGAGGAGGAGGGGATGGAGGATGCTCTGAAACTCTCAAAGGCTGAATGCTCTGAGAATCGTTGTTCTGGAAGTCGCACTGACTGCTCTGGAACTCATTGCTCTGGAACTCTTTGCTCTCAAACTCTGAAACTCATCTCTCGGGGGCTCATTTTCCTGAAACTCGTTGCTCGAGAACTGTCTCGAAGGCTCATTGTTCTGCAACCCCCCCCCCCCTCATCTACGACCTTGACGAGGAGGGGGGGGTGGGGGGGGTGCGAGGAGGGCGGGTGGAGGTGGGTGGTGGTTGGGGGGTGGGGGGGGGGGGGGGGGGGAGGGGCGAGGGGGGCAGAGGGGGCAGGAAGGGGTGGGGGGGGGGATGATTGGGATGCTCTGAAAACTCTTCCAGGGGGCTTGGAATGATATGAAACTCATTGTTCTGGAACTCGCGCTGCTCTGAAACTCATGGCCCTGAAACTCTGTGCCCTGAAACTCTGAAACTCATCTCTCGGGAACTCATGTGTCTGAAACTCGTTGCTCGAGAACTGTCTCGAAGGCTCATTGTTCTGCAACCCCCCCCCCCCCCCCTTTCCTCCATTCGCCCCTTGATAAAGGGCGCCCTCGGGTGCGTGGGGGGGGAGGGGGGGGGGGGGGGGGAGGGAGAGGGGCAGGAGGAGGAGACGGAGGGATGAGGAGGAGGAAGAAGGGGGGGAGGAGGAGGAGGTGGAGGAGAGGAGGGAGGAGGGGGAGGAGGTTGGGGGGAGGAGGGAGAAGAATATGGGGGGGGAGGAGATAACTAACATGCCAGACAGCGAGCTCAACGCCCAATGCATTGAAGATTCGCGCTCAGCCGCATGGCCCCGCGTCGAGCACGCCCCCGGCCACCCGAGCTGCAGGGGGGGGGGGGGGGAGGCCCGAGGAGGGAGGAGGAAAGGAGGAGGAGGAGGAGGCTCGATGAGGCCAATGATGATGAGGAGGAGGGGGGAGGAGGAGGAGAGGAGGAGGAGGAGGAGGAGGAGGAGGAGGAGGAGGGGAGGAGAGGAGGAGGAGGAGGGGGCGGGAAGCGAGGAGGAGCAACGTTATGAGGACGAGGAGGGGGAGGGTGAGGAGGAGGAGGAGAGCGAGGGGGAGGAGGAGAGCGAGGGGGAGGAGGAGAGCGAGGAGGAGGAGGAGGGAGGGAGGGAGGGAGGGAGGAGAGAAGGCAAGTTTATTCACCGCCGAGAGCTCCAGGGGGGGTCAATCAAAACTATAGACTTCTAGAGGTTGCACTTCGACCATCGGGTGTGCTGCCTCCCGTGGTACAAGGTAGCGGACTCTGCGTTCATCCTGGTGCCCGCGCAATCCTCGCCGAGCGCGAACGCACTCCCTGGGATGACCCCATCTTTGCGGTCAGGCTGCTGGTGCAGCCTGGCCGCGCTTCTCGATTTGCAAAATGCACTTGTCACACTGTTGTGTGGTCGCGTGTTGAACTGCGGCACGAGGTCGCAACAACTTCGCCTGATGACGAAGCTCGTCGAGGGCGACCGTGCTACCTTCGAAAAAAGGGCCGCCGAACCCAGCAATCTCTTCGACAACATTGTCGAACACCTCGGCTTGCTTTTGAAGAGCGGCCCGCTTCGACTGTGCGGGGTACTCTTGCGCTGGTGGGAGCTGATCACGGGAGGGATGTTCGCCGCCGCCCTTGACCTGGCTCTTCTTCGGCTTCCCTGAATTTCGTTTCCGCTTGCTGGAAGTACTTAAGTTGAGGACTCGCCCACACTCCTCGAAAGCCATGTGCTGCTTTGTCGGCTGCCCGCGCTGCTGCCGCCACCCTCTGGGGTGCGCATGCGCCGCACAAGCGTTGTACTCTAAAATGCCCCGTTGGTTCCTCTGCCACATGTGCCGCATCCCCAATGCGGTCGATTGAGCCCACGGAACACCGAGGGGGCCCGTTGCGCCATTGACATCAAGACGTCGGGGTGCGAAAGGAAACTTCTGATTGCCCCCGCGGACTGGCGGCGTCCACTTGACTCACCCGCGAGCTTCGCATCTTGAGCCAAAGCGGCGAAGGATGGGGAAGAAAAGGGATGAACAAAGGAAGAATTGGAGAGGGAGGAGGTGGGAGGGGTGAGGAGGAAGGAACCACTGGGGGGGGAATAGCGAGGGTAGCACGGAATTGCGCACGCAGCCAAGGAGAAGTTGCGACTGTCCATCCATTAGATGCTGGGGAAATACCGCCTGCTGACTTCGAACGGGAACGCATCAGCCTTGAATCACTACATACCGCCACGCGCCTGAAACTTTGTAGCAATCCCATGCAGGAGCACCTGAACCCAACCTAATGTCCAAGGCAACCAGGACCCAAACACGGCAAAAAACCTCAGGCCCCCTCTCCCTCAGGACCCGCTCGCTTCAATGACGGAGATCACCTGGCCATCGCTCGCCCGAAACTTGTCTAAAATTAGACATCGGACATCGTGTGTTGTTTCGCAACGTGGTCCCCCAAAGGTCTGGACAACGATTCCCAGGGCCCGTGAGGGTCCTGGGAGGCCGAAGAAATTGACAAGCAAAAGCAGTGGTCGCCATTTCTTCACGACGCGGGGATTTCGGGAGAGGAGGGCCCTTGTCGCAGCTGGAAGGCCAGGATCGGCCCGCGGGCCGCCTCTTCGACGTCGTACCCGCCCTCGGCCTCGAACTCCTCTTCCTCCTCCTCCTCCTCGGCCTCGGCCGCGGGCACAACCACGGTGGTCGGCTCGTCCTGGCGGGGGTGGCCCCCCCATCCCCTGGCAAAGGAACGGGGTGGGCGGAGAAGGGAGGAGGGCACATCCACTCCCAGATCTCCAACGAGATGCTTTGCTTAATCAAGCAATCTGTCGTGAAATTCTGCCTCCAAGGCCCGGGGTCCATCAAAAACGGATCCGGAGCGGGAGAAAGCCCTGGGGAAAGTGTCGGGACCGTCGCGCATTGGAAAAATTAGATCGGCGGGTGTCAACGGTTCGTCCTCCTCCTCATCCTCCTCCTCCTCCTCCTCCTCGTCCGATGGGAAGAATAGTAGGACATCGAGCTGATATCGGCGATACGTCGCCGTTAAATCGGCGATTGGCCCTCGACAGCAAATCCGCACGTTCCTGGGCGTTGCGGGCTATCGGGCCCCACTTGGCGATCAGTGGGCGATCGGGGATCGTTGCGTTTCCCCTGAACCTACCCG